GGGGAAAAACAGGGCTACCCAGGACACAGCATACAGAGATTAATCAGGACAACGTCCAACCTCTGGGCATCTTCGCAGCCATGCCAGCACACAGGCAGGTCCACCGCCAGTTCTCATTCTTGGTCTCTGCCCTGCCTGACCAATCATTACAGTTCTTGAGCTCCCCTAACAAGTGCTTAGAGACACCTTACTCCACTTGCCTGATGGAAACCACTTGCCCGATGGGGCTCTCTGCAGCAATCTGCCAGTCCTATGCCCCTGCCATGTCACGCACTTGGGTCTCGGAGGTTTTCAGTGCAGGAATCCCGGTTCTTCGGCCCAGCCATTCATTTTGTGGGCATTAAAGAGATCATGGCTAGAAAGGCCATAGACAAATCATTTCCGCTTTATCAGGAATTTACTGATCACCTGGTAAAGATTCACCCTAGAGCAGAGGTTCCCAAACTTCTTTTGGTAACCCCACATCCTCCTTTTCAGAAAGACAACCACTCAGAGCATCCCCTGGCAATTAATCGTACTATAGCCCACGATCCAGGATAAAGGGTAAGTATTCTGGCAGCGCGCTGGTATGTGTTGAGCTGCTAAGCGCAAGGTCTGCGCTTCAAAACCAACCACCGGCAGCTCCTCAGGAGCAACAGGAGGTCTTCTACTCCTGTACAGCGTGACTGTCTCAGAAGCCCACAGCAGCAGTTCGACCCTGTCCTATAGGGTTTGTGTGAATTGGAAAGAATTCGATGGCAGTGAGTTTTGAGTTTCTGCTTTGGCAGCCCCAGATCACCCCAGCACCCCAGCGAGAGGTATCATCCACTTTGGGAAACACCGTCCTACAGTATGTGTGCAGGACCTCAGGCTCTGCTGGTGACCACCACGGAGTATTTAAATATGGGAAAGAGCCCACAGATTAAACCTGAAATTATGATTCCACAATCTTACTGCAAGTTTATAAAAGATATTGTAAATGGGTTAAGGTAATCACCCATAAATTGAAAATATGAAAATGATTATTTTTCGCAGCCAGGGAATCACAAAATAGGGAGTTTACTCCTTGTGAAGTAGAGCAGGACATAATTAAATTTGGTATTATTGGGACCTTGTTTCACAGTGGCTAATAAGCTAATTAAGATTCTTGGTTTAGATTCATTTTTCTTATCAGCTCCTAGCGGAGTCTTTCTCAGCACACCATCTGTGTAAATAAAACTATCCATCCAATGAAATGGCTTTCATCATGTGCAGAGTGTTAAAGTTGTTTCTTTGAAATCAAGACAGGACAGAAATCTATTTATTTAATTTTTCAATTCCACTCCTTTTCATAGTTGATACAGATTTTTAAAAATCTACTATCCTAATTGTTTGCTGTTATAGTGGATTTAGATCAACTCGTGTCTTTAGATCAACACTCACAAGACCATAAAGGCAGTCATTATATTCAAGGAATAGAGTGTATGGAGAAAGAATAGAGAGTGGAGGACTGAGCCTTTGGGGACTCTCACAGGTAAGCAGTGGAAGGGATTACAATAAGAAGCAAAAGTTTAAAGCCAAAATCAACCACCTCAATGTGTCTATTTGATTTTAAACCAAAAGCAAACATTGACCTAAAAATGGAGGACCCTGACAAGCATCCAGAGTTCTAATTCTTTTGAATGCAGATATCTATAAGGTAAATTTATAATCTTTATCACCATCTATCTGCCAATTTGACTTACTCCGATAGCTTGCACCTTGCTATGCTGATGGAAACAGTGTGGCCTGTATTTCAGTTACGAGCAGAGAGACCCATCGCACACAGGCTTTAGCAGAGATTCCAGATGAAGACAGACTAAGAAGGAAAGGCCCTGTGATTTTTTTTTAATTGGCCCTTCTTGTCTTAAAATAAGCAGCCATCTCAGTCAGGTGTTAGCTAAGTCTACATGAAAGAAGCACACCAGCCTTTGTGATCTAAGGATTGTAAATAATATTCCAAGATTGGAGAAGGGAACTGTATGACAGCTTAAATTCTGAGCACCTACTTTTCCGAAAACTATGGGTGACCGTGAAAGCCCAAAATCCATTTGCAGGGTCCCCATTTGGATGAAGCCTCCAGGGAATCCCCTCTGACCCTTGACCAGGGACTGAAATAGTCTTACTATGAGACAGTGCATTGGAAAGTAAATGAATGCAGATATAATTAGGTTAAATTGTAATATTTTATCATCTGGCCTCCCTTTTGATCTATGTTAAATTTATTCTAATTTGTATTATTTTCTGATTTCTTTTTTTATTAAGGGGTCTCTATCTTTTAGTTTGTTATTGCTATGAGGTTTGCTTTGTTTTGGGTATGTTTTTCTTTATATGAAATCCAGGATAGGTCATTGGATTAATAATTTCTTAGAATTGTGGCAAGGTAGGTTGGGGGGGGTGAGGAGCTGAAAATAATGAGCACCAAAAAAGAGAAGAAAAAAATTGATCATGGTGATGAATCATAAGTCTTTTTAATGTGTTTAAACCATTGAATTGTGTGATATATGAATTATATGTCAATAAAACTGTTAACCTAAAAAAATCCCTTTGAAACCCATATGGATCATAGGAGAATTTTGTGTTCACTCTGGACATGCGTGTTGTTTTTATTGTTGCTAGATGGTGTCAGGTTGGTTCCCACGCGTATCAACCCAATGCATCACCGCCCGGTTCCGTGCCATTCTCACAGTCGTTTGTATGTTTGAGCCCATTGCTGCAGCCAGCCATCCACAAGGTGCAATGCATCTTGTTGCGTGGCTTCTCCTTTGTCACTGCCCCACTACTTTGCCTAGCATGACCTCCTCCAGAAACTGGTTTCTCCTGCCCACATGAGACAAAGTCACGCCATCCTTGCCGCTAAAGAAGGATCAATTGCTTGAAGCGGAGGTCGTGTTTGGTGAAGTAACGGACCAGGGAGAACAAGAGAAGCCCTCCGTGAGAAGAGGGGGCACAATAGCGGCAGGGCACGAGCCTGCACATCCTGGGAACTGTCAACCGGATGCGGTCCTTCCACTGGGCATAGTGTTGCAATGGGTTGGAGTCTACAAAAGGCCGGGTTGATAGTATGCAAAGTATCTATCTGAGGTAGTTAAAGTGTATTGTGCCAACCTGGCCGATAAACACATGTGCGGTTAATTGAAGGGCAAAGGGATAAATGACTCCGTGAGCCTCACCTTTCTAGTTCTTGGGTCTCTTGTTTTCTGATGGTTAGACCAGGCTGCAGCTGCCTTAGCAGTTCCCTGCTTCAGCTGGCAAGGCTCACTTCCTGCAATACATCCTGAGGAGAAGCCGCATGGACCTACCCTGATGCAGGCCTAGGTGCTGGAGCAGCCGTGTGGAGACCCTGCCAGTGCTGAGATGCTTACACATTCACTGACTCGGCTTTCCTCCTGCAGTCGGTGTCATGGTGTGTGTTTTGTGAGATGGAGGAGAACTTTGTGGATTGGTGTCAGACATATGGGCTAATGGGTTAATGTTGGACTTGTGGGCTTGTTCACTACTGGGTTGGGATGTTTTCTTGATGTGCACTTAACCTTAATATAAACCTCTCTCTTATACATGAGTTTCTGTGGATTTGTTTCTCTAAAGTACCCTGACTAACACACTATCTATCTTTGTATTCACGTTAGGGACCGAGTACATAAAAATATTGTTATAAAATAGTGGAAACCTTTATTTGAACACAAATATCAAAGGTGAAGCTACTGCTTCTCAACATGGGCCTCCATCTAGGTCCGTGCACTTCTGAAGGCAGTGTCTCCAGCCCTCTCAGATGATGCCCCTGGGGAGGGAGATGCGGATGTCTGCGCCAGGGAAGAGTGACAGTCTCAGGAACAGAATGGGGCAGTTCTACCCTGTCCTACGGGGTCTCTAGGAATTGGAATCGACTCGCTAGGAGTGACTTTGGTTTGGGAACGTTCCCTGAGGAATGCTGAGCTTTTCAATAGGTATCATGTCACATGACAGTTTTGACATCCTCGGGGGACTTAAATCCTGGTCCTCTTGAACATTCATTGAGTTTGAGGAACAAAAAGCAGGATGAAGGGGCAAGATCCGGCCTGTAGGTTGGGTGGGGTAAGACTTCTCAATGCGTTTCTCCCAGGACCACCCTGGCTACCCAAGAAGACTGAGCAGGTGGATCATAAAGGAACAGTTTCTTGGCACAATGTTCCTGCTCCTATTCTCTCCAAAGCTGTTTTCAGTTTTCCCGAAACTCCCTCATAATAAGCTCCTATGATCATTCTGTGTCCTTGGAGAAAACCTGCCACGATCAGCCCTTTGCCATCCCAGCAGCTGCCCGAACCTTCTGGGCTGACCAAGGCCTTGGATTTAAGTGGCCCAGCAGATCCCTTTGGGAGCCAGTTCTGATCGGGCCTCTTTTTGAAGGCCTCCTAATGAGACTAAGAGCCGTGTAGTGCTGAGCAAACTTGCCTGTAGGTATCCACTGTGCACGGAGACACGTTAACCGCGCTGTCTGGAATAGAACTGCGCATGCATGAACTGCAAGCACGGTAGCAAGACTTCTCTGACTTCCCCTCAAGGACCCTTGGTTTGATTCCGTCTCTCGTTTTTGATGGTCTTGGGTTTGGTTTTTATTTGTCACTCCCTGATTCATCTCACAGGAGGCCCGAGGGGGTGACTGAATATCGTAAGTTTGCCTGTGACGATTTTCTCTCCGCGATTGTAGCTCTGTCCGTTTGGGAGGCATCATCCTTGGCGACTTCTCTCCCATCTCTCAGGAGCAGAGTTCCATCTTTCCGCCTAAGGAACACGGTTTGTTTCTCCTCTATCCGTCAGAGACGCCACGACACACCACGCGCTTCCACAAAGTTATGCCTCCTCCAGTTTCGAAAAGGACTTTTTGTGCGCCCCGTCTGTTATAAGAAGACTCCGCCCATACTGCTCTTCAGCTTCGTTGGTGGCTGCCCCATCAGTCGCTTGGCCCCGCTGAGGACTGAGGACTTTCGCTATAACATCTGTACGCATACGTGCTTTATCCGTAGGTGACTTCGCTGAACCACAAGTACTTCCGCACACATCTGGAGGACAGCCTTTCCTTGGGCCGACCCCTTCTCATCGAGGACATCCGAGAAGAGCTGGACCCAGCCCTGGACAATGTACTAGAAAAGAATTTCATTAAGTCGGGCACCACTTTCAAGGTGAGTGAGCCTGGTGGAAAACAGAACAATGGTGACATCTACTTACCTTTTTGAGCATAGCAGCGAAGACACTTCCCTGCAGGCGGTTGTATTTGGTATCTTGGGGGACAAATATTTTTCAAATTGATATTAGTGTTTCCTCTTAAAGTATATGAGAGAATACCAGAGGCAAACAATATATTGGTTAGAGTAGCCATTTAGCTCAGACAAAATAGCCTAGTAAGGAAACATGTAAGCATAGTAAGGTCATACAAATAATGTATTAGTGTCACACATGCTCTCTCCTTAATATGTTTATAAAATATGTATTACATATAACATGTGTGTGTGTATACACACATATATACATGAGCCCTGGTGGCGTAGTGGCTAGGCATTGGGCTGCTAACGACAGGTCAATAGTTTGAAATTACAGGAAAGAGGAGGCTTTATACTCCCATAAAGATTACAGGGAGAGTTCCACCCTGTCACTTTGAGTTGGCATCACCTTGATGGCAGTGTGGTTCCCTGTTAATTGTATTATGATATGTATATACCAGTAATATGTTATTATATATTACGATGTATTTCAATAAATACCATGACATATACAATTCTATGTATAATTACGTATATCACATGTGTGTGTGTGCAACGATGAGACCATTGGTTTCGCAAGATATACACACAACTCAGTCAGTGAGAGATGTGAGGGCGCCTCTTCGGCGCGTGTGGCGTGGAAACCCTCGGGCAGTTCTACCCTACCCTGTAGGGTTGCTACGAGTCAGACTTGACTTGACCGCAAGCAATTTGGTTTGGGGTCACGAGTCAGAACAGATTCCGTGGCAAAGGAGTTCTGGTATACGGCGGCACAATCGTTCCTCCTTCAAGTGTTCATGGAAAGGTTGGCTGTTTGATCCGCCACCGACTTCATGGGACAAAGCCCTAGTGATTCCCTTCTGCAAAGGTCACAGCCACAAATACCCCTTGGGGCCCTTTTACTTTGCCCCATGGGGGAGCTCTGCGTTGGAAGTGATTGTGAGATCCCTAAGACACCAACTTGTCCCCGTGTGGGACAAATGGGTAAGCTCTGGGCCAGCAATAGAAAGGTCGGCATGCTGAACCCACCAGAGCTAACCTCACTCTGGCGGTGTCGTTGGTTGGGCCTTTGGCTGCTATCGGAAAGGTCAGCAGTTCAAAACCACTAGCCACTCTGGGAGAAAGAAGGGCTTTCTACTCCCATAAAGAGTGGCAGTCTGGAAACTCACAGGGGCAGTTCTACCCTGTCCTAGAGAGTCAGCATCGGAGCAACAGCAGTGAAGTGGGGTTTTTTTGTTGTTGGGATTTTTTTGGGGGGAGGGGAGCTTGACAGTTTGAGCGGTTCCCCAGAGGAAAACCCTGAAAGGTCACAACCATGAAAACCCAATGGGGTGCAATTTTATTCTGAAACCCGCGGGTTAACTATGAGTTAGAATCTAACAGTTTAGTCTTATGTACACACACAGGCACAGGTATCCACACAGAGAAAAGGGCATTTTAATAAAGTCTATAGACATCGATTTGTTCATTTCTCTCCTTATTAACTTTCCATCTAAACTCATTGACTTGGCTGGAAGCTATGGGATATTGTTCCCAATTGTTCCTGATCACATGCATTATTTTCAGCGGAAGTGTTTCTTTTCACATTGTTGTCATTCTCTCCACCTTTCGGCTCCTTTGACTTTAATGCTTGGTGTGACTGTCACTTGGACAACCGACTTTCATAACCACCAGCCGTGGAAGAGTGAATGGAATTTTCTCATTAGACAAAGACAGATGTATTTAGAAAAAGAATTCCTTTGTGATAGGCATCCTTTTATGGGCCACATTTTAACGTGTCAAGGGAAGTTGTGGGGTCTCCGTTCCTGAAGGGCTTTACAAAGACCCCAGCTTCTATCTGTAACATGAAGGCAGGGTGCCTCAGAATGTTTTCGCGCCCCTAATGATGTGGTGTTGCTGGTGTGTGGTATTCAACCACATGAGGGATTGAGACATATGAAACATTTTAAGTCTTTGTTCGATGTTAGAGTGCCCAGTAGAATTTTAGGTATCAAAAACCAGTTGAAGCCAACTGTTCTCACTCTGAAAAATAAAATGTGGACATTTTTCTCTTTGAAAATCACATCAACTCTTTCTGTTGTCAAATATCCTTCTGATATGATTTTGAAACGCAACAACAAGAAGAAGCAATGCTTCCTTGAAATACAGCAGTTTTCCATAGTAGGAAACACTTTTCTCAAGTGGGAAAAAAAGAGAACTGTTTTCTATACTGCAACAATCAGCAAAAACAGTAAATACAATTCAATGTGGCACTCCCTAAAAATGTAAAGTTAGGTGTGTCTCAATTTTTATTCACTTGCCAGTTGTCTTGGATGACTCCCCCCCTCCACTTAATTTGCATGGCGTTATAGCTACAAAGCATCATAAGGCAGGACCATAAGCCATGTTAATAGGCTTGATTGATCAGTAATTGAAAGGTTTATAAATTCCCGCAGTTGCATTTGCCTTTGGTAAATTTTTCACTAAATTGAACCCAAATGTCTTTTGCTCTCCTCAGAGCTGTGTCTGATTTCACATTTGGGTTGATGTAGGTAAAAGTTGGTGATAAGGAATGTGACATCATGGACACATTTAAACTCTATATTACGACAAAATTGCCGAACCCTGCTTTTACTCCTGAGATCAACGCTAAGACATCTGTCATTGATTTTACCGTTACAATGAAAGGCCTTGAGAATCAGTTGCTACGGAGGGTGATCCTAACGGAGAAACAGGTAAGCACTTTCTTAAGGTAAAGAACTTCTACTTATAATGAACTTTTAAACTGTATATGGAAAATAAATAACAGATCACCTTACTAGTGTATTATTGTGCTATCCTCATTCCTGCAAGAAAGCATCACACCTCACCTCTCCTTCAGCCTCAAACACTTTCACGTGTGCATGCACACACCATTCCTTCTTTCTGCTTGTCTGTAAGCCTTTGGGATGCTGACTTTCATGAAGGGAACCTACATCTATGACCCTTTAGACGGCCCTAAAGACACCTGGGGATTCACAGTACTGATCCTGGAGCAAAAGAGAGTGCTCTGAATGGGTACTATTATCACTGTCAGAGTTTCAACTGCTACTATTTAATAATAATTAGAGGCATAGCTTTATTTTAAATGAAATTTGCACCCGAGTGGGGATATTAATTAAAATTAATGGAGGGTTCTAAGAAAGCCAAGAACAACTTCAGATTGGAAGATTTTAAGAAACCAATTCAAGATTAAACTGATCTCTAAAATAAAGCTCAGAAAATACAATTTTAAGCCTACAAACATTTGCATAAAGCAGAAGTTTAGGTATTTGCATAAATGAATAGATTTGCATACACGAGTGTGTATTTGCTTAAATGTGATTCATTTTCTTTTGATGAATTGTAGGACAAGGCAAGGTTAGGAATAATAAAGGCAGAGAGGCATAAGATGACAGAATGAGAAAGAATGGCCAACAAGAGAACAGGGCGTACAGGTAAATAGATGGCCACAACCATGCAAGAAGGGAAAGAGACAGCATGGAGACGCAGAGATAGGATGAATCCGTGAGTTGATAAGTAAAATCCTATGTAGCCAAGGGAGCTGGTTAGTCTTGGGAGCAGGCCTTGATAAGCAACCCGTCTGGTGGCATGGAAGGAGTAAGTCCTGGTTTGAATCTCCCTAACTGTTGGATCTGAGTTCCCATCACACAACTGGAGGCTTATGCAATCCATCAGAAAGAGTATCAGTCCCATTTCCACCCCCGGGCAGAGAGGACATTGGCCCCTCAGTCCATTGCTTTCATTTCCCAGGGCTTTACGGTGTACTGTTTGCGCTGTTGGGTAAGCAGTGGACTGCTAACTGCGAGGTAGGTTCAAACCCACCAGCTGCTCCTAGGGAGGAAGGTGAGGCTGTCTGCTCCCGTAAAGATCTGCAGCCTTCGAAACTCTACCTGGGGTTGCTGTGAGTCAAGAAACTTGATGGCATTGGTTTTTCTTGGTGGGTTGAAAAGGAGCCCTTTGGGGTTCAACTGGTGCTAGAAGTCTATGCTGAGATGAATCGTCACTGGTCCCGACCCCCTCTGCTGGCTTCAGTAACCTCCCTTCAGGTCTGCAGACCACCACACAGGCCTTACCCTACCCTTCAAGAGATGCACAGAGATGCAGCCTACCAACCTTTCTTGGGGATTCCAACATGGTTTTTCTGGGGCCTCTCTCGCTGGAGAAAATTAAACGCACAATGAATATGCAGTGGGCATCCTGCTCCCATGAATTTAATCCAACCACCCTGCTACTGCCCCCTTCTTGTGGATGAACAAATGGATGCCCACAGAGAATACAGATCTCATCTATTAAAAAAAAATCATTTTACTGGGGCTCGTACAACTCTTATCACAATCCATTCATCAGTCCATCCACCGTGTCAAGCACATTTGTACATTTGTTGCCATCATCATTCTCAAAACATTTTCTTTCTGCTTGACCCCTTGGTATCAGCTTCTCATTTTCCCCCTCCCTCCCACATGAACCCTTGATAATTTATAAATTGTTATTTTTTCATGTCTCACACTGACCGATGTCTCCCTTCACCCACTTTTCTGTTGTCCATCCCTCTGGGAGGGGGTTATAGGTAGATCATTGTGATTGTGTCTCCCTATCTTTCTCCACCTTCCTTCCCTTCCTGGCATTGCTACTCCCATTACTGTTCCTGAGGGGTTTATCTGTCTTGGATTCCCTGTGTTTCCAGCTCTTATCTGTACCGGTGTACATGCTCTGGTCTAGCTGGATTTGTAAGGTAGAATTGGGTTCATGATAGTGGGGGGAGAAAGCATTAAAGAACTAGAGGAAAGTTGTATGTTTCGTCGGTGCTATACTGCACCCTGACTGGCTCGTCTCCTCCCTGAAACCCTTTTGTAAGGGTTGCCTACAGATGGGCTTTGGGTCCCCACTCCACACTCCCCCTCATTCACAATGATAAGATTTTTGTTCTGGGTCTTTGATGCTTGATACATGATCCTATTGACACCTCGTGATCACACAGGCTGGTGTACTTCCATGTGGGCTTTGTTGCTTCTTAGCCAGATGGCCACTTGTTTATCTTCAAGCCTTTAAGACCCCAGATGCTATTGATAGCTAGGACCCTTCAGCTTTCTTCACCACATTTGCTTATGCACCTGCTTTGTCTTCAGCGATTGTTTCAGGAAGGGGTGAGCATCATGGAATGCTAGTTTAATAGACCAAAGTGTGTTCTTGCATTGAGGGAGTACTTGAGTGGAGGCCCAATGTCCATCTGCTACCTTAATACTAAACCTATAAATATATGCACATAGATCTATTCCCCTTCATATATAAGTATATTTATATATGTAAATGCCTGTATTTAGACCTGTATAAATGTCCTTTGTCTCCTAGTTCTTTCCTCTTGTCTCAATATCATGTTCAGCCTTCATTTGGATTTCATATTGCCCTTGTACAGGTCTCATCTTTAACAGCTCATGAACTTTACACTATACCAACCCTCCTAATGAACCTTCCAGGTCACGTCGTAAAACTTTAGGTTCTACTATGCCCAGACACTTGTTTTTCCACACTATGTTGAGAAAGAATTTTATTCTGTCCATATTGTGCTATGCTAAATTATTGAAGGCTGTTACTATCCCACCCAGGAGTGATCAATTTAATTAGGAGGATTCATTAGATAGTCCCCTCCCAATGCAGCCATGTTCGTTATTCCCATCTCATCAAATACTGCAAACAGGCTAGGCTAATCACACTAGTCTGGGAGTTGGAGGGAAGGCAGTTGCCAGGATCTAGTTGAACAGGATCTTTTGGGGTGTAATTTGGAGTTCATGTTTTCTGGTCTTCGATTTCCCCCAATATTAAGTTTTAATAAAAGACAAGCTAGATTTAGAATATTTCAATCTCACGAATATTTATTGAAGTAGCCCCTTCTCTGCAAAGCCTCAAGGTGAGCACTAGGAAGGATTCAAAAACGAACGGGGTGAATACTTGCCCTCTAGGTGTCCCCCCTACAGATGCACGGATGAGTGATGTCTTGTAGGCATTGCTTGGCTAATTGGTTTAGGAAGAGTTTCTGGGAGTAGTGCAGTATCTGAAAATCTGTGAAGAAATTTCCTTCCATAAATAATTTTAAAACACCCCTTTTAACATAATTCTGAGTGCAATATCTAATTCTGTATCAGACTGGGAAAATGCCTGAAAACCACATGATTGAGACTATTTGAATTGAGATGACATATTAAGTTATAGACCCAATTCTCCTGAGTGTGAAACGTGCCCTTGGGTTATGGATGATAATGTTCTGACTCTCTGCTGATGGGCCCAGGGGTCAAGGGTCATGCCATTGAGAAGTGATGCAGCAGTAATAATAGTAATAGTAGAGTCATATTTAGAGTAAAGTGACCAAGCACAATCTTGATTCTTAGGTGAAGGCTATAGGAGGGCTCATTGTGCTGGTTACGCAACTTCTCTGACAGGTTGAAACATTTTCTCATAATGTAATTAAAAAAAATACATCACTTGGTGGGGGGAGAATCACTGCTTGCAATGATCAACGTATAATGCCCTTCCCCCACGCACACCCAGGGTGAGGAACAACAGAAAAAGGGCTGAAGGGAGACAGCAGACAGTGTAAGATACAAAAATAATAATAATTTAAAATTTTTCGAGGGTTCATGAGGATGAGAGGGTAGGGGAGGAAGGAAAAAATGAGCTGATCCAAGGGCTCATGTGGAAAGAAAATGTTTTGAGAATGATGATGGCAACAAATGTACAAATGTGCTTGACACATGGATATATGTATGGATTGTTGTACAAGCCCCCAATAAAATGATTTTGTAAAGTAAAAATTATTTTAAATTATAAGAATAAAAAATGTTTTGAAAAGGATGTTGGCAACATATGTACAAATGTGTTTGATGCAATTGATGTGTGGATTGTTATAAGAGCCCCCAATAAAAATGATTTTTTAAAAAAATCACTTATGTAGGAAAAGCTGTATGTCTGCACACTCCGTTTTGCCCCTCCTGTATACGGAGCAGCAAGTACAATGAGGAGTGGATTCATGTTGGCAACTGGCGGTGCAAAACAAGGCACCTGGTGTTCAGTTCCTACTGGCAGATTCCAACCCAAGAGCTCACACTTGACCTGGGTAGCCCTTTGGCTCCCTGGTATTAATGCCTGTTTGTTTCTTAGTATTTCCCATGGCAGCAATGTGGGAACTGGTTTGAGGATAAACTCAGAGCTAGGAAGAAAACTGGAGGGAAGAGGACACAATGGTTTGGGCATTTCCGTCTCCAGCATGTCAGTACAAGCACTATGGAAATATAATGCTAGTGGGCACCATTACCAAAAATTATCCAAGCATTCAGGAGGGAAGAAAATGTTTTGAAATGGATTGTTATAGCAATCGGACAACACTGCTTGATATGATGGAACTATGGAATGTTAGGGTGTCTGGATTGGCTCCTGATAAAATGGTTTGCAAGAAACAAACAAGCGTGGGGTGAAAAATTATTCAAAGAAGCAGAATTAAAGACAGGTAGATCTGGCTGACAATAGTAATGCTTTCTGTCATTTGAGTGGTTCTTTGATTTAACTACTTTTTAAATTGATCATCAATACGAGTAAGTCGGAATTGGCAATAACACTTGGCAATTACCTTTCTTAATGTTTATTCCCCAAACCCCCCCCCCCATCTTAACAACAGGAGTTGGAGTCTGAGAGGGTTAAGCTGTTGGAGGATGTCACTTTTAATAAGCGGAAGATGAAGGAACTTGAAGACAACCTCCTCTATAAATTAAGTGCTACGAAAGGTATTGTGGTATTAAGAACTAATCAAGCGACATATTCTGAATTCAGGTTCCGTGTACACTCTTTCCAAGGCCCTCGTGTTAGGAAATAGCCAAGATATCAGTGCAAAAAACAAGCCAGGCAATTTCCATCTAGACATTAAAGAGTGTGACTGCGGGGGATCTGATTTTTGAATTAGCAAATAGAGACTGAGCATTTGAGAACAGCACCGTTTTCTTGATATAATTGCTCTCTCCTGAGAAAAATAAGGGCTCCCCACAGAGCTAGGTAACTCATAATAGGCTAATTTGCTCACCCAAAGGAAACTGATGGGCTCAATCTATTTTCCCCCACTAGATAGACTCTCTCATTTGGTGCTGAAAGGCAATTACCATGATATACTGTGTTGGAGGAGTCAGAGTCAGAGGTATCTGGGCACCAAAGGCCCAGGTGACTCTAGACTTGACCTTGATCTTTCACTTAGACATCAGGGATAGAGTCTTCTCTGGAAGGTGGGGCTTGGGGGAGAAAATCATTGTGCCACCTCAGTTTGAGGAGATGTACACAACACTCTCTCTCTGCAATGTTTATAAACAGAAAATTTACCTGGCGAAAACAACATTCATTGTTCCACAGTAGGCAAATTACACCTTTATTGCTGTGGTTTGCTGCCCAGTCCATTCTGATTCATGGAGACCCCCTATGGGTGCAGAGTGAACTTGAAAACTGTTGTGTTTTCAAGGCTGTGAACTTCTGGAAAAAGACCTTCAGACCCATCTTCCCAGGAGCCTCTGGGTGGGTTTGAACTGCCAACCTTTCAGCTACTTCATGAGCAGTTAACCATTTGTACCACCCAGAAACACCCCTTATTATTCGTGTAATAGTGAGAGGCACTTCTATCTGCCTTAATTGCACCACTTTTGCTAGTGAACTTCTCCGTCTCTTGGTTCAGGGTCGTCTCCCAGTCATGTGAGAGGTCACTCGGCATTCCAAACTCCATAACAAGGAAAGCTGGGTGCTGCCTCCCTTGATGCATGCCAAGAGTGTGTCAGATCAAGATCTCTTCCCTGTAAGATTCATACAATTTGGACTTCCACAGTAGACACAACACCCTCTTTGGAGTAATTCCTCGCCTTCCTGTAACACTCCCCTGTCATCTGGAGTTCTAGCACAGACCAGAATCTTCTCTTTGAAGACATGGGGGATGTTAACTCAGGGTGCCCTGGCATCCATCCGCACCTGAACACCTGAAACGCTCACTTATAGCACTGAACACGTTCTACGTCTATTATAAGCAATAATGAAGGGGAACACTAAAAATAAATAAGGGTTTTCTTCCCCCAGGGACAGACAATGGCTAGAAAGAGATTGTCTCCAAATTGACTCTTGCTGGAGATGTGGAGGGACCCGGGGTCTCAGTGGCCAAGGTGGTTTTCCTGAAGTAGCAGGAGTAGCGAGCACCACACGCACCCCTGGGTCAGCCCGAGTGTGTCGCATTCAGATAGCTGCACCACGAGGAAGCTGGCAGGACCACCGGGTGGCACCTTGAGGAGAATCACCAGGCGGATAACGGGTGTGATAGTCAGATATTTGCAGCCCCAGCTTAGGGAGTGCCCGGAGGAGGTTTTCAGGCAGAGTGGGGGTAGTCTTGCTCACTGGAGGCATATTCAGAGATGCCCGTGCACTGGTTGGTCGGTCAATTGAATAGAAGCCCTTGATGTCTGAAGAATTGTGAGAATCCCCCCCTTTTCTCCTGAGGGCTTTAAGAGTTCTAGTTGAAGGTGAGCAGGAAAATTCCAGAAGCCAGGCGCTCGGCGGTGTGGCATCTCCACTTCGTAGCCTACAGTTTTCCTGTTGGCCCTTTAGGGTCCTTGGTGGATGACGAATCCCTCATCGGTGTCCTCCGAACCACTAAACAGACAGCCGCCGAGGTAAGTGAAAAGCTACACGTGGCTGCAGAGACTGAAGTCAAGATTACTACGGCCCAGGAAGAGTTCCGGCCCGCGGCCACCCGAGGAAGCATCCTCTACTTCCTCATCACAGAGATGAGCATGGTCAACATCATGTACCAGACCTCGCTGGCCCAGTTCCTGAAGTTGTTCGACCAGTCCATGGCCAGGTGGGCGCTTGCTGCCTTTACCCCAGAGCCGTAACTTAAAAAAACGTTTGCCTTCTGCCTGCCCTTTTAGAAATGGTATCTTATTTCTCTGATTTAAAAACAACAGCAGCAACAACACATGTGTTGCAGGTCTGAAAAGTCTCCACTCCCTCAAAAGAGAATCACAAACATCATTGAGTATCTGACGTACGAAGTTTTTACCTATTCGGTCAGAGGCCTCTATGAAAACCACAAGTTCCTCTTTGTGCTGCTCATGACCTTGAAGATCGACCTTCAGCGAGGGACAGTTAAGCACCGGGAATTCCAGGCTCTCATTAAAGGTAAGGTTGTTCGGAATTCCAATACGGAATGTCGCAGATAGTGCTTTGATATGCTTTTGAGTGTGCTGGAAACCCATTTTAAGGACAAAATAAACAAAGTTTGTTCTAGGAAAAGTTAAATTCTTATTTTCATGCCTCCCCCTGCCCCTACCCCCCACCCTCCTTCCCATTAATTTCTCTGGTTATTCAAGATGAGTTATTTCAAGTCTGTGCTAATTCTGTGATTTTTTAAAGGTTATATTTAAATTTAACCTGGTTGTTGTTGCCCATGATTACCAACCAGCCAAGCAAACAACAAAAGTACTTGCCGTGGGGTCTGTTCTGATCATGGCAACCCCACACGTGTCCGAGTAGGCCGCGGTTTCTATGGCCGTCACCTTTCAGAATTAGATAGCTGGGCCTTTCTTCCAAGTTGCTGCTAGGTGGACCAGCCTTTCAGAGAGTGGCCCCACACTTAATGGTCTATCCTATGGGAGGAACGGTGCGACTGGGGAATGAGCTAGCAATCGCAAGACTCCATTTCCTTAAGCAAGGGAGTATGTTGGTTTTTAAGACTGAAAGAGCAGGCCCACATATATTTCATATTTGAAACTAATTCTAGTCACTGCCTATCTCTGCATTAAATATATAATTAAGAAGATCGAATAAGGGTATTTTCATGCCAATCAAGTTACATGTGTTTTTTGAGCACCTCCTCCATAAATCCACCTGTTGGGAATACTAGGATGAAGCAGATGCTGCTTTGAAAGAACTAACATCCTAGTGGGGATAATGATTTTTTTAAAACAAAGCAGAATAGCCTAAGTGTTACAAGAATGCTGAAAACAAAGCATTATTGGTCCAAATAGAGTACAAAATGGCATATGGGGAGGAAGATCAAAATGAGCTTATTGGAAGCGTAGCTTTGTGTGAGAGGTTATCCATTTGGGGGATTATTTGATACATGGTAAAAATGTTTCAGTCTCTTTCTTGTGCTCTTTGTATATAATAGTTTAAAAATACCTTTTCTGCCTCCCCCCTAAAAAAATAAAGTGGTATTTGAGATGGTCCCTGAAGGATATGTAGAAACGAGGAAAACATTGCATGCTAACATAGACTAGCATGGGCAAAGATGGGCATAGAGGATGTTGAAGGTACAGGTTATTGATGATATGGATTGAACTGTATCCTCCCTAGACTATGCGTTCATAATCTTAACCTGTAAGATTTTATAGTAATTAGATCATACCTGAGTCAGGTGGGCTCTAAATCTAATCACTTCTAAGTTATAAGCAGGGCAGCTTAGACATACAGACACTCATGGGAGGAAGGAGGGTGTCCCGTTAGGATCACTGAGGAACTAAGGAGTGTGATTAACATGACCAAAAACCTGATTTAGTGTTTTTAGTTTCTATAACTGTTTGAAAACAGTTTCTTTCAAAGCGACCCACTTGTGGCGTTGGTGTTACTGCAACACTAGTGACATGATAGGACAGTGGGAGGGAACGTTCCATGTGGTTGACTAAGGGGAAGAAGGGCTAGGCTTATGTGTTGGTGACATGCTTTGACTCCTAGAGGAAGTCTTTTCTTGATTTGGCAAGAGATGAGGAGTTGTTGTGGGGGATTAAGCAAGGCGTTCTTGTGTAGTTCTAGTGCATGACATCCAAAGAGAAAGGTTCAAGGAATCTTCCCAGCCACTGGAAGTGCTGAGCCTGAGGAGGCAGTTGCTGGAGAAACATCCAGATAGGAGATGCCTAACAAGGCAGTCTTGCAGCCTGGTGGGGGGAGAAGGGCTAGGTGGATGAGCCTGGGGTTTGAACCAAGAGTCTTCCAAAGGGCCAAGGCCAAGTGCTCAGGCTATGGACAGCAACACATCAAACAGGGTTTGTTCTAGCTCAGAGGGTGCAGACAGGGACCCCAGATTGTGATGGAGATGGAGATGAGAGGGCATTCTCCCCATCAAGATCTAACTCCCCCCACCTGGCTTCTCCCAAACACACAACCTAACCCAGACAGAAACCCTGAAGGAGACAGGGGCCTTAGAAGAAGGAAGGTAAATGAGAGGTGGCTGGGAAGCAGGGCAGCACAGTGCAGGGGGTTTATCAGGAGGATGCCCTCTGTTCCAAAGAACGAAGAAGGCCGCATCTCTGAGTGTGAGCCATTTGGATGGACCCTTTTGGATCCTAAAACTGGCAAGTCAGGGAGAACCCAATGCTATCCAGGCAGGATCACTAGTGAAATGTTTTGATTGAAGTTTATTGGCAATGGGGAGCCATCAAGTGTTTTATGAGCAGGGACATGAGACGAGGCGAGCAGTACTTTAGGAAGACTAAGCTGCGCTTTGCAGGATAGCTTGATGGGCACCAGTATAACTGGCTCAGCAGCAAAAGGGCTTTGAGCACAAAACAACCTTATTGTACAGTTGTATCTGTTTTGAACAGGCTTACCCTTTGACAATTATTTTCTAAAAGACGGCACCACTGTTTAAAAAATTGTTACAGACTTAACCATCATAGATCATAGATATGGTTTTCAGAAAAATCATTTTGAACGCACTGTTTCGGAGACGGGAATGAAAAGGGGTCCTGTGGAGGCAAGGCTTGATTTCCCTGTGTGTCGATGTCGTGAGATGCCTTTGACTGCATTCTGCTGCCTAGAATTTCAGAGCACTTTAAAAAAAGAAACGGACAGCAGGGCAGTCCTTCATTATAGAGCAATGCACATTTTTTCCCCCTTCTGCCAAGTTATTTCAGAATGATATTATCTTCCCTTTGTCATATATATGGACAAAAAGACACCTTCCAGATTCTGCTCTTGACTCCTAGGCTGGACTGGACGTAGCCCCTCTCCCGAGGTAGTGGGAGAAGGAGGGCTGGCACTGAAAGAGCAGCGAACACTTAGAGTCGCTCTTCCCATGAGCCAAGACGGTTCTAAGAGCTCCACCTGCATTAGCCTGGGCACTCTTCACAGCAACAGTCTGCCAGTTCTGTTCTTACGCTCCTTTGAGAGATGAGGATGCTGCGAGAGCGTGTGTCCCTTGTTCAAGTGGACAGAGCCAGTCGGTGACAGAGCTGGGATATATGTGGGGTGGGGGGGAGGCTGGGTTCTGTCTGTTCTAGGTCGGTTCGGGTGCATGTGTTTGGAAACACGGAAGTCGCTGGGTTGTCATCTCCTGATGTCTCTGTACCTGATGGTTACCTGAAACCATTTCCTCGGAAACACTCCAGAAGAAAAGGGATGACTTATTCTCCACCTTCCTCGTGCCGCGGCCCTTTAACACAGTCCCTCATGTGGTGGTGACCCCCAACCATAACATTATTTTCGTTGTTACTTCATAACCATCATTTTGCTACTGTGATGAATTGTCATGCAAATATCTGATAGCAGGATATAGTTTCATTGTTACAAATTGAACATCATTAAAGCATAGTGATGAATCACAAAAACATGTCATTATATAGGTGAAATCTTTATTTCTCGTGACAAATAAATGAAACGTCCTGAAGCATGGTATAGCATGGGTAACAGTCTTCATGCTGGGTACTCATAAGTGGGTGTCTCTGCATGTGGGCAGACCCACCTGGAGACGGACAGAGGAGTGGTGTCTCGGTTCCTAAGACTATCAGAAATGTGTGTCTTCCGATAGTCTTAGATGACCCCTGTGAAAGGGTCCTTTGACCCCCAAAGCAATTGTGACCCACAGGTTGAGAACCGCTGTATTAGAGGAACAGAACTAGTTACAAGAGCATGCAGGGGTCTAGTCTAGTGGTTGCTTCTCCCACCAGGAACTCTCAGTTTCAGCAGTACTAATTGGCAACTGAGGTCAAGTTGGCACTAACTCACAGCGCCTCACTGTACATATAACAGAACCAAATGCAGTCTGGTCCAGTTTGGTCCTCATGATGGTTTGAGTCCATTGCTTTGGCTACCCCCATCCATCTCATAGAGGATTCTGCGTTTTCACTGCCCTCCACTGTTCCAGCTGCTAGAGTGAGGCGTGCTCTGTTACCGGGTAGTGCAGGGAGGAGGGGTGACAGAGAGAGGAGAGTTAGCTTGTTCTAAAGGTGTTGTGACACCAAATTCTCAGGAGTGGAGCAGGAGGGTTCACCTGGAAGGAGTGTGTGAGGTCACACCTGTTCTGAGGTGGGCGCTTGGTTGAGAGAACAAGGTTCTCTGGTCCCCTCCCTTCCCCTTTGCTCCAAGAGTTGGTATGTGCGGTGGGAGCATTTGATGAATTCTAAAGGAGGATTATTGGATTGAAAATGGCAAGAATCACTGTTTTTCAGACATCTGAATTAAACAGCTCTGGAGTTGGAATTGCAACGAGAAGACATTACTAAAGTCCCTTGCCGTAGAGGACTTTTAACATTGTAAATATAATCACATGTTTGGTTGGGAAATTGACACATTAGGTATGCTCCTCTGTCTTGTTATTGACTTCAGAGCACGGTTCAGGGCTAGACCATGTTTTCACACAAATAATGTTCTATATCCGTCTGCCAACCATGCCCTCCTGCCAGGTATTCCCCATAAATGTGCTATGCCAAAGCTGTTACAGACCTGGGACAGGGAAGGGAGGGCTCAGGTGATAAAGAAATGTAGACCAAGTGTGCTGTTTGCATGAGTAAATGTATATACAGTACATGCTCCCATTCTCTACTGGACCATGAGCTCCAGGAGGCCAGTGGTCTTGTCTGATTTTCTCTGCTATGTCCTCAGTGCCTGGAGCATGCTGGGTATATAGTGGGTCTATGAACAATAGGTATTTGTTGAATAAGGGAATTATTAAATGCCTTAGATATTAGTCATTCCAAAAAACCTACTGTGTATTCAACATCTGCCCATTCATCTTCCACCCCCCACCCCCATCCTCCGGTATATCTGTTCATCCATGCCTCTATGTTTCTATATCTCACCTAGTTTAAGAAAAATAGGATTGAGTATCTGACTTTGAGAAGGATGACAACTAATTTAAGAAGAGCTTTTAAAACAATCACACATGAAAAGATCCACCTGTTCATTGATACATGACCATCTTACATTTGTTGATTGTTTAAAAAAAAGAGAAAATGAAAAAAAACAACAAAAACGTTCAAAGGGTAGCACGATTGCAACCATCTAGAAAAATCCTTATCCAGGGCAATTGGCAAGGAGTTCCTCTCTGCCTCTTCCAAAACGATGTAAATCGGTAAATGAAAGGCCAAGACTTAGAGGGAATCAACCACGATTCTTTCCCAAGCTCCCCACAGTTGCTGTAATATGCGGTTGTCTTGTTTCTGTTCCTTGGAAAACGAATGTCTAAAATCCGCTCAGGCCGTCCTCGTTCACAGTGTGGACCATTTTCCTGCAGGGGGAGCTGCCCTGGATCTGAAAGCCTGTCCTCCCAAGCCGTTCCGCTGGATCCTGGACATGACCTGGCTGAATCTTGTGGAGCTGAGTAAACTCCCTCAATTTGCAGAGATTATGAATCAGGTAATACAGGACCAAAGGGACAGCTCTATCTACCCGGACAGACCTGGGGCATTTTAATGAGGCGCCCTGGTGACAATTGCAGGTGCAAAGGAATGAATGAACCCAATGGTGTGAGTTGAAGGTGTGGTCTAAACTCTCACACAGAATTCCCAGGAGAATGCCAGGCCGTTCTTCCTATTCTGTCTTCGTCTGGAAGCTCCCTTGACAGCTTCCCACCTGGAGTGGCCCTGGTGACATTTGAAATACTAGTGGTGTCGCTTCCAGGACCATAGCAACAGGCAAGCCACCCTAGGGTGCCAAAGTGCCATGCGACTGGTGACTATGAATACAGGCCTGTGTATTATTGTGCGCTTTCGTCAGATTTTGTCTGTGCCTGGGATCCATTAGCCACTTTTTACTGACTATGGGCTAAATGCTTGGCCACAGCAACCACAGCTCTGTAAGGGAAATATCATTGTTCCCATTTTATAGATGAGAAGACAGATTCAAAGAGATTATTGCTCAAAGCCACATAGTCAGTAGGTAAACCAGAGTCAGAGTCACCAAGATGATTCTGCGCCATATTGATTTTAGATAAGGTTTCCGAGGTCTTGTACAGACAGCCTCCTCTTGTTCCCTTGGAGACACTGGTGGGCTTGAACCTCAGACTTTGTGGTTAGCCATCCAACGCTTCCCTGGCAGCACCTCCAGCGCCTCTTGCTGAGTAAGTGGCAGAGCTTGGGTTTGATCTCACGCTTATTCCACGCCATCATGACTGGTTTCTTTTCATCTCCTCTGACACCAGAAGTGTGAGTGGTGGTGGTGGGAGGGGCTGTAAGGGGGGAGCATTTTCAGGAAGGTCACCGAAGTTCAGTGGTGGCCTGCCATCAGGTGGCCATCAGCTTGGCTCACTGGTGGGAAGGAAGGAGGAAGTGGAAGATCAATCTCCTCTCGTGGGTAGGTTTCAGGAATTGAGACAACAATAACCTCAAATAGCCGCTTCCCTCGCCTTGGCCTCTGAGACCCGATTGTTTAATGCCTGGAAGTGGTTTGTGCTAGCAGGTGAAGGCCAGGAACGGAGGGGGCAGGAAAAGGGAGGCAGGTGGACGGCAAGGGCTGGAAGTCACTCCACTGCCCCTAACAGATGCAGGTTGGCCCAGAAGCTCTATTGCGGTGCAGCCGAAATGAGCAGGTGCAGGACCAAGGGGCTGAGAATAAACACTCTCTTTGTCTCTGGCCTTGGGCCTGCAGGGGGCGCTGTGGTTCTGTAGGGTGGTTGCTGGAGACCCTGGATTCTCCCCGCATCAGGTGGGCAGATTCAGGGAGGACAGTCCCGCAGGGAGGGCACTGCACTCTCAGCGGGCAGACCACCCCCCTCCATCACTCAGAGTCCCCGGAACAAAGCTCAGCCAGCTGAATGACAGAATAGTTGTGTTGTCATAACCATGCCCCCCCACCACCCCACGAGTCATTTGCCTGGTGAGTGACTTTGGGCAGGTATTAAAGTATTAAACCTCTCGATGCCTCAGGGGCTTCCCGCTCCCTTACAGAATGCCAGTCTTGGGGACCCACAGGAGGCAGTTGTACCCTTGTCTTACAGGATTGCCATGAGTCAGAATTGACTTGAGGGAAATGAGTTTTTTGTTTGATGCCTCAGTTTACGCCTCCATTGATGATAATTTTAAAAAGGAGTGGGGAGCAGGGGTCAGGGAAAGCAGAGGTGAAAGTGTAATCCTGAGGAGCCCTGGCAGGTGGGATGTGGTCCATTAGCACTGGCATCCGTGGTTTTGTAAACAGTGCTGCATGCTGTCTGAATGGCCCAGCTGGACTGTTGCTAAGGGCTGCATCAGGCTCACTCCGCACTAGTTTCCGTATGGATTTTGGCAGCATTTGCCCTTCAGGGAGCCCCTTGTAATGCCTCTGAAAAGCTGCCGTTTCCTCCCATGCTTCTGAAGGAAAAGAGGGGTTTGAGACCGCCTCTTGGATCTAAGATGTCAGGTCGCAGGGACCTCTGGGAAGATGAAAGCCGTGATTTTTGTCATGTGTCCCACTGCGGTAAGTCCCAGGTGTTTCTGAGTCGGCGCGGAGTCATGGAAGAAGCCGTGAATGTCAGAGTGGGACCGGGCTCCTCCGCTTCTCCGAGGGGGATTTCCTCAGAACCAGCTCGCCAGGCCTGTCTTCCGAGCTTCTCCTGGGTGGACTCAGACTTAGCACCTTCCAGTTAGCAGCCGAGTGGACTAACCAGTTACTTATCAGGATGGCTTGTGTGGACGGTTTTTGACCGAAAGGTGATTTTGTGCCTCCTCTTGGGGGACATTCTGCGATGTCTGGGGACACTTTTGATCATCATCATGACTTGGGGGCAAGGATGTTACTGACGGCTAGTGGATAGAAGGCTGAGAGGATGCTAAGAAACCCAGACTACACAGGACAGAGATTTAGCCCTTCTAGTCTATTTTGTCCCCGGCCCACTTAGTGCAATTTACATATGATCCCAATTTTAGTGAATCATGCAGGAAAGCTGGAAACACTGGAAGGGAAAATAATATGCACACTACTCGAATCATTGATTCAGAAGAAAAATTTAAACGATATTATTGTGTTAGACCGGGTTGACTAGAGAAACAAATCCGGTGACACTTGTATAGGTGTAAAAAGAGTTTTATATCAAGAACCTTTATAGATCAGGAAAGCATTCCAGCCCAGTCCAACTCAAGTCCCTAAGTCCCTCTTCAGACTCACGCAGTCACATGGCATGATACAGAATGCAGGAAGGTTACAGGCTGGTGGGTGCAAGGTCGCGTGGATCCAAGGAGCAGTTCATCACAGGGCCCTGTAGGTCTTCAAGTAGCTGGCTGGCATGTAGGTAAAGGCAGAGAGCAGGGAGGTTTCCAGAATCCCCCTTCTGAGAAGACCATGCCTACAAAGAGGTACCATCAGTCTGTTACCTGACTGACAGTCCATCCCTACACTACTTCTATATAACAAGTTGACATGAAATTATGTAACTATCACAATTATTATACCTAAAAGACTACTTACTCCTAAAGAACGACCATTTAAGGTCATTTGGGACAAAAAGCAAATCAAATCAAACCCACTGCCATTGAGTCAACTGCAGCTCACAGCCATCCCAGGGGACAGAGTAGACCTGTTCCACTGGGCGTCCCAGGTTGTCATTCTTTAGGGAAGCAATGGCCACACCTTTACCCCCGCAGAGGGACCAGGGGCTCAAACTGTCTACCTTCTGTTTTGCAGCCAGGTGCTTTAACTGCTGCGTCACCTGGGCAATGTATTCTAATTGTATCTGATTCTATGGCTTATTAATTGGTTTGTTTCTTTCAGATATCTCGTAATGAGAAGGGGTGGAAAAACTGGTTTGACAAAGACAGTCCAGAGGAGGAAATTATCCCAGATGGGTATAACGACTCATTAGACACCTGCCGTAAACTTTTACTTATCAGGTGAGACTATGTGTTATTAGAGATGGAAGCATAGCTCATCTCCTGCTATTGGTAACTGACAGCCCTTCAGTGAGTTTACTTCACCTTGACCCTGTAGTTGTAGGTGCTTCTCAATTTCAGATTGGATGACACTTATGATGGGAGGGAGTGAGTGGTATATTTTGACAGCAGATTAATCATAGTGTTTTTGGAAAAGGAGAGTGAAAAAGACATTGTGATTATTCACCTTGCTCATCATTGAGCATTGAACAAACCCCTTGTCATTGAGTTCACGTCTTAAAATTTTAAGTTTTTAAAATCTCACAAACCAGAAGGCCATTAGTTTCCAAGCTAAAATTGAATTTCCTTTGAGGAAGAAAACGAAACAAAACAGGAACACTGTGCTCTTGCAATGTCTAAATGCTATTAAAATGGCATCAAAAGTCTGGAATCAGTGTTAAGGGTCAACATTTTTCTCCCTTTTCCCATTTTCTCAGGATCTAGTAGCTCTAAGAGACCTTATATTGGAAGAGCCACTGGGGGATGGTGTGTGTGTGTGTGTGTGTGTGTGTGTGTGTGTGTGTGTATGTGTGTGATGGGCAAGGAGGAAGGGAAGACAGGAAGAGACCAGACCACCAAAGAGAATCACAAAACCTTGTTCTGATTGGAACGAATGTGACTATCTCTAAGCCATCGTTTAAAAACGTGAATCTATGCCACGTGAACAGAACAATTCCCCGGCAAATAAGAATCTGAAGGGTTTGTCTGGGAACTCAACTATCAAGCAAGATTTATTTAGTCTATCTCTGTGCGTAGAACCTCTTACAAGGTACAGTACACCAATGATACTAAATCAACTTCAAAAAATTAAATGGGGATCCAAAACTAAATGGTGGTAAAATAAGTATAACAAACATTTTGCCATTGGAACCATTTTTTTAATGCGCAATTCAGAGACATGAATTCCGTTCGCCGTGTGGTGCAACCATCATCACTCTCTGTCTTCAAAAGTTTGCTCACCCCAACCAGGAACCCAATACCCCTTAATTAATAACTCCTTACTCCCTATTTCTTCCCAGTATGGCAACTACTAGTCTTCTTTTGAGATGGAGTTTGCCTATTCCAGGTTTTTTTCTATACTGTTAAGTGGGATCTTGCCAGTATTTGCCCTTCTATACCTGATTTATAGGAGCGCTGGTGGTGTAGTGGTTATGAGTTGGGCTGCAATCCACATAGTCAGCAGTTCGAAATCACCAGCAGCTCCTCAGGAGAAAGTCTGGAATTTCTCCTTCTGTGTATAGCTTTAGTCTCAGAAGCCTTCAGGGGCTCCCTATGAGTCAGCATTCACTTGATGGCAGGGAGTTTTTTGTTTGTTTGTTTTTTAATCATTTTACTGGGGGCTCGTACAACTCTTACCACAATCATACATATATCCATTGTGTCAAGCACATTTGTACAGATGCTGCCATCACCATTTTCAAAGCATTTTTCTTTCTACTTGAACCCCTGCTATCAGCTCTTCATTTTTCCCCCTCCCGCCCCCTCCCTCCTCCCTCACGAACCCTTGGTAATTAATAAATTATTATTATTTTTTCATGTCTTGCACTGTCCTATGTCTCCCTTTGCCTGTTGTCTGTCCTCCTAGGAGGGGGTTATAGGTCATAGTGATCGGTTCCCCCTCCCCACCCCCCACGTCCTCCTTCCCCTCCTGATATGGCTCCTCTCAGTATTGGTCCCAAGTGGTTTATCTGTCCTGGATTCCCTGTGTTTCCAGCTCTTATTTATACCTGTGTACATGCTCTGGTCTAGCCAGATTGGTAAGGTAGAATTAGGGTCATGATAGTGGGTGGGGGAGGAAGCATTAAAGAACTAGAGGAAAGCTGTATGTTTCATCTGTGCTGTACTGCACCCTGTCTGGCCCGTCTTCTCCCCATGACCCTTCTGGTTTTTTGCTCTGTGTCTTTGATACCTGATACCTGATCCCTTCTTTTATGCCTAATTGATTTCACTCAGCATGTTTTCAAGATCCCTCCCCGTGGGAGCATGATTGGAACTTCATTTCAACTTGTGGCTGTATGATATCCTGTTGTGTGGACCGTCCACTTTTGCTACCCATTCACCTGCTGGTGAACGCGTGTGTCCCTGCCTCTCGGGTGTTGTTGGTGATGCTGCGGTGAGCACTCGTTGGGCAGGATCTGTCAGTGTCCTTTCTTTCCAGTCTTTGGGGTGCACAACCATGAGTGGAATTGCTGGGCCACGAGTCAAACACAAATGACCGTGGCAGCTCTTTAATGTTTAACTTATTGAGGAACGGGCAATGATTTCTACAGCAACCACACCACTTCACCATCCCACTAGCAATACAGGGATTACAATCGCTCCACAGATTTGCCAACCCTTGTTATTTCTTCTTGTGCTGATAATAATCATTCTAGTGGCTGCGATGTGGGATCCCTGTACTTGAGATGCCGGCGACAGGTTGGATTCTCCCACTTAAGACTAAAGAGCTGCAGGGTGCGCCGCAGGATGGCCTCTGTCAGGCGCTGGAACAGGCAGAGGACACCTCCCTTGGATTCCAGTAGAATCCCCAGCATCGAGACTAAAGCTGGATGTGTAGTACACCATCAATATTTGCCTAAGAATGAATGTGCACCTACATATTATAATTACTTTGAATGGTAACTGCTTCTCTGAAGTCACTAGCCTCACCAGCTATGGGGGAATCACGGATTAAAATTAAAATAATAATAACTGATGTTTCAGCATCGTTATTTCATTTTACAATTAGACACTTGGGTCAGCTGCCTTGTAAGCTCTCCTTCAGATCACAGCGGATGGATTTGTTCCTGTGGTGCCCTTCTCCTTGTCAACGCTGATGGTCAAAACCACAGGATGTATTTACAGTCATCCTCTTACACAGATAGGCACAAGGGACAATGATAGCTGGTTGTCCATTTGCTGATTGAAAGGTGTTCTTATCTGTTGGTGTTATTGCAAAGTGTCACCAGATCAGTTCCAACTCATAATTACCTACAGAACAAATCCCCCTCAAGTTTTGCACCACCCTCAAAATTGTTGCTTGAGCCCATTGTTGGGTTCAATCCGTAGTGTTGAGGGCTGTCCTCTTTTTCACTGGCCCTCCACCAAGCAAGATGTCCTTCTCCAGGGACTAGTCTCTCCTGACAGCATGTCCACAATACTGGAAACAAAGTCTCACTGTCCTCACTCGTAAGAAACATTCTGGCCGTACTTCTTCCAAGACAGATCGATTTGATCTTCTGGCAGCGTGTGATGTATTTATTTCATTTTCTTCACTAACATTATAATTCATAGTCATCAATTCTCCCCGAGTCTGCCTCATTCATCGTCTTCCTTTTGCATGCATATGAGGTGACTAAAAATGCCATGGCATTTTTACCTTACTTGTCCTCAAAAGTGCTCGCTATGCTTTTGGACATTTAAAAGAGATCTTTTGGAATAGATTTGCCCAAAGCAATACGTCATTTGATTTCTTAGCTGTTGCTTCCCCGGGCATTGATTGTGGCTCCCAGTAAAATGAAATCCTTGCCATCTTCAGTTTCCCCCCCTTTTATCATTGTGTACTTGCAAGTACTTAGAATTGGTTATAATTTTCAGCAATTTTCAGCAATTCAGAGTGAGTTTATTTTCTTGGACTTGTATTCATTTCTAGGTCTTGGTGCCCGGATCGCACTGTTTTTCAAGCAAGAAAATACATTGCGGATTCTTTGGAAGAGAAGTACACAGAGCCAGTTATCTTAAATCTGGAGAAAACTTGGGAAGAAAGCGATACACGAACGCCCTTGATATGTTTCCTGTCCATGGGCTCTGATCCAACCAATCAAATTGATGCCTTGGCCAAGAAACTGAAGCTGGGTATGATCAGCGATATACACAATTGTGTTCATCGGGGTAGACTAGAGAAACAAATCCTGGTGCTCAGGGTTCCAGGATATCATCCGTATTCTTTACATTTGGTCTCTCGCCTATAGCTCTGTTGTAGAGGGTCTCTGTAGCGTGGCTGCCTCGCTCTATATCTTGCTGGAAGTCCACTCAAAAGTTTTATGTTGTGAGAATCAATGCACTAGATTCTGTGAGTCCAGATTCTGTGAGGTGAATACAACAAAGCTGAGGAAGGCAGACATGTAAAATTGTAATTGAAGACAAGAGGTCAATGGCTATAAGGGAGCTTAGGTAGATGGTCCTTGATTACAGGCTTCATAGCTGCACAGTCTACAGGGGGCACTAAATTAAAGCATCACAGGGAAGATATCTTAAACCTGGTCTTTAAAATTAAATAATCATCTACCAGGTGGGGAAATTAGAGATAGAAGGGAAGTTCTTTCTAAGCAGGGGACGGAGGTGGGGGTGGTGTTGGAGGGGAATGCAGGGCAAAGAGTCATAAACACACTTCAATTGTTTACGTTGTTGGAGCAGTGAGGAGTCACTGGGACCAAAGCATGTGGACCTTCGTGACACTGGTAAGACTGAGCCATTCTATAGGAAGCGCTACTTATCAGCTCTGCACACCTGAAATTTGAATACCACAGACTTGATCATACCTGTCATCTCTGATCCTTATGACTGTACCTTGATGCATTCATTTATGTAATCTTTATAGAAATGATTGATTGTGAATCACTAAACCTACTCTCTGAAATAAAACCCACATTGAATATAGTCAGCAGTTAACATGAGCATGTTGTGTCCAAGTATTACATACAGATCCTTCTGGACTGAAAATCACTGTAAACCATCGGCTATGGCAGCATGGTCTACGTTCATTCCCACTTTTCTGAACTTCACTTTGTTGCCAAATGTTCCAGGTTCTGTTGGCAACTTCTCACAGTCCAGTCTCATTGTTCTTGGGTGCTGTTGAGTTGCTATGTCTGAAGCCACTGTGTCAATCCATCTCTTTGAGGGTCTCCCTCCTTTTCCCTGACCCTCCCTTACCAAGCCTGAGGTTCTTTTCCAGGAACGGGTCCCTCCTGATGACATGCCCAAACTGTGTGAGGTGATGTCTTGCCATTCTCGTTTCTAAGGAGAATTCTGGCTGCACTCTTCCAAGACAGATTTCTTCATTCTTCGGGAACACCATGGCCTTATTCATTATTCTTTGCCAACACCGTAATTCAAATGTTCTTCTTCTGTCTTTGATATTCATTACCCGTTTTTTTTCATGCGTATGAGGTGACTCACAATACCATGTCTTCGGTCAAGCACACACCTTTGTCTTCCGAGTGACAGCTTTGCTTTTGAACACTTTAAGGAAATCTTTTGCCCCACATTTGCCCAATGCAGTAGACGGTTTAGTTTCTTGACTGCTACTTCTATCTGCATTGATTGTGGAATCAAGTAAAATGAAACCCTTGGCAACGTCAATCTTTTCTCCATTTGGTCCAATTACGAGGACTTTTCTTTATGTTGAAGCATAACCCATACTGAAGGCTGCGATCTTGGATAGCCACCCCTAAGTGTTTCAAGTCCGCTTCAATTTCAGCAAGCAGGGTTGTGTCAAGGGCAAACTGCAGGTTGTTAATGAGTCTTCCTCGGATCCTGATGCCACGTTCTTTTTCATATAGTTCAGATTCTGAGATTATTTGCTCAGTGTGAAAATTGGGAAATTATCTGGAAAGGATGCATCGACTTTTTTGGTATAGTGAATCTATGTATTCTTTGTATCTTCTTTTGATGCTTCCTGTAATGTTCAATATTTTCCATGCCACTGTTGTCATCGAGTTAACTCCGACTCATGGGGACCCCGTGTACAACACAACAAAATGCTGCCCGGTCCTGTGCCAACCTCACAATTGTTGTTCTGTTTGAGCCCATTGTTGCAGCCACTGTGTCAGTCCATCTTGTCCAGGGTCCTCCTCTTTTTCACTCCCCCTCTATTTGAAGCTAAAGTGTGAAAAAAAAAA